AGGCTGCTCCAATGTCCGGCCTGGCCTGGGGCACTGCCAGGGATGCAGGGGCAGCCCCAGCTGCTCTGGGCACCTTGTGCCAGGGCCTCAGGCTGGGTCTGGGCCTTCAGAGGCTCCCTCAGAACCTCCCCCTCCAAACAGAGCCCCTGGGTGCAGGAGGTGCTCTGGGAGCCTCAGCTGCAGGCTGTGAGCTCCCAGTGCAGCCTGAGGTGCAGTTCCCATTGTCCCTGGTGTCCCCAGGAGCAGACAGCAGGACAGGAGTGTCCATCCCTCCCCCAGGAATGGGATGGGCTTCAAGTCTGAGCTCAGGGGTGAACTAAATCCAGTTTTAAATTAATGCCTTAAAAATGGCACAACCACCGGCCCAGGCGCTGCTCCAGCAGGAGCTGGGGTAGGTCTGGAAGGGGTCGAGGTGGATCTGGCAGGGGTTGGGGTGGGTCTGGCAGGGTTAAGGTGTGCAGGGTTCCTTCCAGCTCCTGCTGTCCCTTCTCAGCCATCAGGTGTCGGGTGACATCAGGGCAGAGCAGGGACAGGGCTTGCATTGTGGGCTCGGCTGGTGCACGGAAATTCGAGTCTGTGCCCTCTCGGGAGGCAGTGCAGGGGGCTGGACCTGCCTGCTGGGCCAGGTAACCCGTGCCAAAGGAAAAGGAAAAGGAAAAGCCTCCTCCCCCTGCTCTCCTTCCCGGGGGTGTCCAAAAGCCGGGCTCCAGCTGCTGAGGGCCACCAGATTGGTGTTGGAACCCCGGATGCTGAGAATTTCAGAATTTCTGTGCTGCCAGGCACTGACCCCAGGAGAACACTGCATTGACCTAAGGCCGTGGAGAAGGCTTCTAAAATTGATTGATAAAATTGAGATTATAAATTTGAATAAAAGTGTGTAATATCCCAGAGTGGAAAGCTTAATGATTTAGAACACAATAATATATATATATAACAAAATAAAAGTTTTAGAGCAGTAGCTTCTTCACCTTCTTCTTCATGAGCTTAAGAAGCATTGTGTAATTAGATAAAAAGTCCACATTACAAACCACAAGTACTTAGCTATTAAGTTAAAAATAAAAATAATTGTAGTGTAATTTCTCAATTACACAGTTTATCCTTTAAAAAACCTTAGAGAAATAAAAATACTACTCAATATTTTTAGTTTGTTAGTAAAATACTATAAAACTCAGAACTTATAAATATAGTATATTTATGTATATAAATGTAGTATATATATAGAAAAGTAATTAAATAGTATATATAAAAGTAATAAAAATATAGTATATATGAAATAATATAAATAAATCAACACAAATAAAGTAATATAAATAAATAATAAAGTAACATGATCATAAATATATAAATAATAAATATATAAATAAATAATAAATATAATAAAGTAATATAAATAAAAGCTAATAAACATCTAAGTCCAAACAAAAAATACCATCTCACACATTTAATCTCAACCTTAAAAATATAAAAAAAGGAAAATAAAAAAGCAGCACAAGATCCCCCCTTGCCCATGGAGCGGGAACCTGGCCTGGAGCTGGGCCTGGAGGCCAAATCTCTCAGCAGGCTCGAGGAGGCTCAAAGGAAGGAGGTTCAAACCTCTTGCAGGCTTTAAATACATTTTAATTGGAGGCCTGTGAAGGTCAGAGCAGGCATCAATTATCCCCAGAGCAGGAGGTTTTTCCGCGTGACTGCCCTGGGTGCTGCTCGCAGCCTCCGGCTCAGCGCCCAGGCCTGGGGAAATGAGGCTGTGCTGGCACCAGGGCCAGGGGGAGCACAGGAGAGATCCCTGGAGAGCTCCAGCACGGCCTCAGCTGGTGGGAGCAGGGCCTGGAGCTGCTGCTGGGCCACCTCGGGTGGGACTGGGTCCCCACAGAGCTGGGATCACTGTGGGCAGGACGGGATCACTCCAGAGCTGGGACCATCATTGATGCCCCGTGGGTTTGGGCTGAGGGAAATAACCCTGGTGAGGGCACAGGTTGTGTGAGGAATGCAGAGTTTCACCCCTTGTCCAGGAGTCCCAGAGCCACTGAGGCTGGAAGGGCCCTTCAATGTCCTCCAGTGCCACCGAGGCCTTGCAGGGACAGGGAGGGCAGCAGAGGGGCCTGGGGGTTCCTGTCCCAAAGGGAGCTGAGATGGTTCCTGTCCCAAAAGGAGCAGGGATCAGCATGGGAGAGTGAGGTGGGGCTTGGGGCATCCCATCCCAGGGCCAGGAAGCCAAACACGGGGAGCAGGACTGCTGGAAGCTGGGCCTGGCTGCAGGGACACTTCAGGGGTCTCAGGGCACCCGGGTGCTCCCAGGAGAGCTGGATTTATGGGATCAAAGCAGCTCCTTTCACTCTTCCCTGGGTGTCACCCAGATTTTCTAAGCCTTCTGATGTTTACATTCTTGTAATGAACTTTCTCACACACTTTCTGTAAACAACTCATTGTTTTGCATTCTTTTATAGAAGAAGAGAAATTTGATAGACTGTTAGTTTGTCCAGTGTCATTGGAGAGGTGGCACTGTCACCCTCCAATCCACTATCACTATTAGAAAACTATAAATGTTAGAGTCAGGAAATAAACTGCCCTTTTGTTCACCTTGAGAGCAGCAGTGTGTGCACTCGTGTTGTTTCGTGTCCTGTAGAGACATCAGGGTGTTCCTTCAGTCCCCAGAGCTGGATCCAGCTCATCCCCAAAGCACACAAGGTGCTGTTAGTCTCAAAGGGGGCATTACCCAGGTGCCCACAAACTGCAGGCTGAACTCTTGTTTTTAACTTTTCACAATCCCAGCTGAGCCATCCCAAAGGAGGGTGGAAAGCAGGGAAGAGGAGCTGCTATCAGCTTTGAAAGAACAGCGAGTGTTCCAGCTCCTGCAGGGTAATTAGAGCTGTTCAAGTGCTTTCTGTGGAAAGCAGATCCTTTCCAATTAAGGACTGCGCTGCTGATTTCAGGCACTTGGAGGATTTATTGGGGAAGAGTTGGTGTGGCTGTGCCTGCACTCCTGAGGGACAGGATGGGACAGGATGGCTGGGCAGGGGCAGGAGAGCCCCACAGCCTCGGGTACAGCTGGAGGTGCCCCCTGGCTCATCCAGGGGCTGTGATCCATAGGGAACACTCCCTGCTGGGGATGGGAGAGGAGTTTGGGGCGCTGGAGCTGCTCCGAAACTCCGGGGCATGGAAAGAGCTGGGGCAGGGCAGGGACCCCAGGGAGAGCTGGGCTGGGCTCTGCCCTTGAACTGGATTCTGCCCCAGAGCCCCTGAACATTGACATCCAAACAAGGTTCCAGCCCCTTTCCTTATTAAATAGCCTGGAATTGCTTTCCTCATTAAATAGTTTGGAATGGCTTCCTCACGGGATGAGGAGCTTCAGAGTGTCCTCAGTGGGACACTGCAGCCAGGCTTGGTCCCCAAACAGGGGATCTCAGCAAAGCTGCCCATGAGCCCCAGGGCTTGCCAGAGGTGGAAATGAGCTGTGAGTGTTGTCCTGGTGGTGTTCCAGACCTGTGAGTGCTGTCTGGGCGGTGTTCCATGCCTTTGGAAATGGGATTCTGTGTTACTTAGCACGGGTTTAAGCAGCAGCTCTGTTTGCAGTGTGCAGTCTGGGGACACAGTTTGCTGGGATTTTGCTCCTGTGCAGAGAAGACATTTATCTCCTGTGCTGGGTGGCTCATGTTGGATGCTTTGTGAGTGGGAATGAACCATTTTTATGGATCTCCTGCTGCCTGGGACATCCCAGTGCCCCATCCCAGGGGCTGGTATCCAAAGCTGAGCACCAGTTGCATTTATCCAGCACACAAAATAAGGGATTTAATGTACCAGGGACATGAGCTGGGCTATAAATCACAGGCTATTCCAAATACCAGAAGGAATACTGGAATATCAGCTGCCTGTTGCATATTTGGATGGCACAGGGGTGGGTGTGATGCTTGGGAACGTTTGCAGAGGGAGAGGAGCCCTGGGGAATTGTTCATGATCCCGATGGGAAGAGCAGGGGATGAGCAGTGAGCAGATCCCTGGCTGAGACAAGCCGGGGGAGGAGGCAGTGCCAAGCCCAATGCCATGAGATCAGCACCCTGCATTCCTCCTGGGCATGTGGCTTCCCAGGAATACTGCAGGGACAGGCCCACCAGCAGGGAACAACAACCTCCTCTGAGATTCTCCCAAAGAGGGCTGGGCCTTCTTATTTCTGACTGGCAGAGTCATTCCAGAACCCAGGAGAGAGTTTTGGCAAGGGAACACTGCGGGTGGTAAAAGCTGGAAGGTGTCCCTGCCATGGAAGGGTTTGGAGCTGGAGGAGATTTAAGGTCCCATCCAACCCAAACCATTCTGGGATTCAATGTGGGATTTTCTCCTCCAAAAACAAAAGGTGGTCCTGCAGCTTCCAGGAAAATCTAGGAGTGCAGACAGAACAGAACCATTTCTGACAAACACAGCCAGGCGCTGAATTAACCTGGGTGCCTCTCATCCCACCTGACACAAATCCCAAGGGAACTCCAGGATCCTTGGGGTTCTGTGGGCTCCAGAAGGTCTGGACCTGCTGGGCACTTTTGCAAGGTCTCCTTCACCACTTTCCTCCCAGATCTGGAAAAACACCTCTGGCATGGCTGGATTGGATTTTCCCTGTCTCTGATTCTGCAGGTTCATGGATGGGGAGGAATCCCAGCTCTGGTGCAAGGCCAGAGCCTCCCCACGCTCCGGCTGTGCCACCACGGCTGTGGCTCTGTGCCTGTGCTCTCCTCTCCCTTTGCCTGCCACGTTTTTATACCACAGCTGATATTTTGCTTATCCCCTTTTCCATGTCTTTTAGGGCCTTGTTGGCTGTGAGCAGGGGCAGAAGGGGAAGGTGCTGCTGAGACCATGATGTCCCTGGGTGTCACTAAAGGTAATTCCTTCCTCTGCTGTTTTTTCCTCTGTTTCTGCTGGCCAGCTGGAGCTGCTGGAATGTCCCTGCAGGGACAGGACACAGGGAGGTGTTGCAGTGAGACTCTGTGACCCAGCGGGATGCTGATCCCGAGCTCTGCATGGCCACGTCTCCATCTTCCACCCACCAGGGAGGGGAGGGCTGCGTGCTGGGCTGGATCCCACCTGTCCCGGGGTGCTGTGAGCGCTTCCCTCCCTGTCCTGCTCTCCAGGAGGGCCGATCCCGCCCACGGACGAGGATCGCCGCAGGATCATCCGGCAGATGAAGGTCCGCACCACCCTGCGGGGCGACAAGAGCTGGATCCAGCACCACAACTCCGACTCGGACGAGGAGAAGGGCAGCCCCCGGTAAGAGCATTTCCTTCCCTTTCCCCATCAGAACTCCCTGAGTTGGGCCATTGATCCAAGCCCCATTGATCCCACCCTGTGCCCGAGGGCATTGTCTGGAGTTCTGGGCTCCCCAGGCTGCACAGGATGTGCTGGGACAGGTTTTGGGGTGGTTTTGGGGTGCCCCTGGTGCCAGGTACTGCCACTGCCTGTGGGAACCCAGAACATCCCTCTGGCTGTCCAGGACCCCTGCCAGGGGGCTCAGAGACCCTGGCACACAGCCCAAAACACCTGTGGGTTTCATCATGACCCGTGGAGGAAATTACCAACCTTAGATGAAGATCAGCAAAGCCACAACAGTTTAGGTAGAATAACAGTGAAGTTATCACGGGGTGGAAAAGTAGATTTTTGGGGTTTTGGTATGGCAAGATGGAGGGAACTGAACGAGCCCAGCCTTTCTCCTTCTTCTTCTTGGCCTCCATCTTCTGCTGTGATGGTGGCACTCACAGATTGGTTTAGAGTAGAAGCTCACTGTCTAACATAGGTGATAGGTATTGGGAAGTTACTGTAAATATTGTACACGTAGTTTTTAGTATAAAGCCATAACACTGCCCTGGGGGCAGGCAGAGTGCCTGGAACTGTCCTGCTGGATGGACCTCAGCAGGGCAGGAGAAAATTTATTATAGATAACATACAAAAAACACCCTTGAGACTGAAAAATGAAGATCTCTGACTCCTTCTTCAAGTGCTCGGGCTGGGAAAAGAGACTTTTAGCAATCTCAGGGTCCCAGTGACCCAGAAGGATCCTGAGAACTGCCAGAGGAGTTGCTGCTCCTCTTTATTTCTGATAAATGCCGGGTGGGAAGAAGCTCTGACAAGTGTCTTCTGCTGGAGCTGGGATTCAGCAGCACAGACAGATTGGGAGGCTCAGGAGAGCTCTGAAGTTTTGTGAAGCCAGATTGTGCTCTGGAGTGACAAACTCGGGGCAGGCCTGCAGGGAGTTTGGGATGGGAGAGGCAGGAGATCAGACAGTTCCCTGCCTGTCCCACAGGGCCCTGTGCCAGGGAACACCAGTCTGCTCCAGCTCCTCTTTACCTGGGAGCAGACCCAATTCCAAGCCCCTCTTCCCTTCCCCTCTCTCCAAACCCATGCTCAGCAGTCAGTTAACCACATCCTTGTGTTTGCTGTTCCCTCAGGTCTGGCCAGGCTGCTGGGGCACCCCCAGCCCCCAAACCCGCTGCTCCCCAGCAGGACAGGTAATTCCAGGGCCCCATTCCCATCCATTGCCTGCTCTGCTGCCTGCAGGGCTCAGTGCAAACCCTCACTGCGTGCCCCCCTCACCTGCTGCTGCCAGCACAGCTCTGGACACAGCCCAGCTCACAGGGATGGCTCACCGTGGAGAGGGCAGGGAGTGGCTCCCCAGAGGTGCAGCAGGATGCAGGGGTGACTTTAATTCAGGGGAACGGAGCCTTTGAGCCACTGGTGGCACAAGGCTGGGCTGGGACATCAATGGCTCTGCTGGTGCAGCCCCTCAGTGCTCCAGGCAGGGGCTCCTCAGGGCAGGAGGAGCCCTGGCAGGGGCTGAGGTCCCTTCAGAGCATGAGGGGTCTCCAGGAACTCAGGAGCTTGGAGGAATATCCTGAAATACCAAACTCTTGGGAAGGGCCTGGCCCTGTGTGAGAGCTCTGCCCTCTCCCCTGAGCACTTCCCTGCTTCCCTTTCCCTGTGGCTGCTCTCCCCACTGCTGGTGCTCTCCAGGGGAGCCACACTGTGCTCCCTCCTGGGAATGCACCCCAGAGGAGTTGGGGTGCAGCTGTGATAAAATAATCAGGATCTGCATCACAGCTGATTCCCCCTCCTGTGCCACCAACCTGGGCCAGAGAACACTTCCAGCATGGCTAATATTAATTGGCTCACTCTAAAATTCATTTTCCCTATTAAAAAAATCCTTAAGAGAGCTTGTTCTGATGATTATTCTTGTCAAAACATCCCTCCAGAGTCAATCCAGCTGTGGGATCCCTCCAGGCCTGATTAGCTGGGTTTTTTGTTTGACATCCACGTGGACTTTCCCCTTCAATCCTGGTGCTGCTGCGGTTGTTTTCCCCGTGTTTTTTACTCCCTGATGTCTGTTCTTTGCACAGGTCCTCTGCCCCCAAGCCCCAGTCTGGATACCTCATCAGGTGGGTATGGAATGGGAGAGATCTGGGCTGCAGGGGGAGGAGAACTGGACCAGGAGCAGAAAATGTTCCATCAGCTGGGAGCATCCCAGTGCTCAGGGCCAGGAGCCAGCCCTGTTGTTTCACTGCTGCTTTGAACTTGGCTCCAAACATTTCCCATTTTATGTGAGATGTCCCTTCCCTCCGCAGGGGGGTGTTCACCAGGACCATCGATAAAAGCTCCTCCACGCCGGATCCTTCAGCTGCCAGCCCAGCACAGAAAAGGTACGAGGGTGTCCCCTGTGCCCTCCCCTCCATTCAGCAGCATTCCCTGCAACCAGAGTGGGATATCTGGGGCTCTGCTGTTGTTCCCCTCCCTGTGGAGCTCCCCTGGGGAAGGGGATGGGGAGGGATGGGAAGGTCACATTGCCAGATGTGGTTTGTGTCCCCCCAGCACTGCCCTGAAGGGACAGAGCCGCTCCCCCTCCGGATACAGGATGACCACGGAGGACTACAAGAAACTGTGAGTGGGCAAAGGGAGCAGCTCCTCCTGTCCCTGCTCAGTGGGAGCCCCAGGAATGGCCCTGGAGCTTCCAGAGCTTCCACTGGAAATGCCAGTGGTTCCCAGGGCACTTCTTTGTGGGCCAGGAGGTGCTGCTTGAACTGACAGCAGGCAGGAATGGAGGGGGCAGCCTGGGAACTGGGTTTGGAGCTTTCCTGAAGCCTGGAGAAAGGCAGGGCAGCACTCTGGGCATTTCCTGCCCTGGTTTTTGTGTCCCAGAGCGTGGCTCTGATCCAAAATGGGGTTGGGGCCTCTGGGCTAGGGACAAAAGTCCTTCAGGGACCTGTGCACCCCTATGGAAAATACAGGTATCTGACTCAATGCCTTGGATTCACTTCTGTTTGGCTTCTGCTGCCTCTGCCCCAGCCCCAGCAGCAATTCCTGACCCTGGCTCTCCCTTCCCTCCCTCCCAGAGCTCCGTACAACGTCCGGCAGAAATCCGTGGATGGGGAGGAGGAGGATGTGCCTTTCTCTCCAGATGAGCACAAGAAGAGGTGAGGCCTGGAGGTGCCCCCGTGCTCCTGCAGGGACAGTGACAAGCTCTGTTCCATCCTGGAGGGTTGGTGGACCCAGGCACAGCTCAGGGCCGGGTGCAATCCAAGGATAATCCCAGCTCTCCCTGCTCCGAGCCCCGCTCTGCCCACGGGCCACCGCGCTCCCAACAAAACGTAATTAAATCCTGACGTGATGCAGCCTGACAGCACAGCCCAGTTACCCAGGCAGCTGGGAGGGCTCTGGCATTCCTGGGCTGCCTGGTGGCCACGGGGAAGATGGAGAGGCACAAACAGGCAGGAGGGAGGAGCCCAGCTCCCCACACTGCGGGTGTGCCAGAGCTGGGATCACTCCAGGACTGGCACCCAGGGCAGCTCCAGGCTGGGCTGTCCTTCCTACCAGGAATAGGAGCAGAGAATCATCCCGGGATGGTTTGGGTGGAAGAGACCTCAAAGCCCATCCACTGCCACCCCTGCCATGGGCAGGGACCCCTCCCACTGTCCCAGGCTGCTCCCAGCCTTGTGCAGCCTGGGCTTGGGCACTGCCAGGGATCCAGGGGCACAGGACAGGCACAGGAACAGGTCTGGTCTCTCTGGCTTCAGCCTCGTTGCTCTTGATGGAGTTTCTGATGCCCCTTTTCCTCAGGCACAAATCTTGTATGAAGGAAAACTTGGTCATTGTCCCCTGGGGTCCAACCACTAAAGAGCTGGAGGGGAACTTTGGATAAGGGATGGAGGGACAGGACGCAGGGAATTTCTGACTCCCCACTGCCGGTGGGCAGGGATGGATGGGATATTGGGATGGGATTGTTCCCTGTGAGGGTGGGCAGACCCTGGCACAGGGTGCCCAGAGCAGCTGTGGCTGCCTCTGGATCCCTGCCAGTGATCCCTTCTCCCTTGGTACACGTGGTAGTACCCAGATCAGTGCAGACACTCCATGGAGTGTCAGGCACAGAACCCATGTCCGTTTGTCTGTCCATAGAATCAAGTATTGCAACAATCCATGTCTGCAATGGATGGTCCAGGCCTGGCACAGCTGCCCAGGGCAGTGGTGGAGTCCCCATCCCTGGCAGTGTTCAAAAAACCTATGGCTGTGGCTGTGGCACTTGAGGATGTGGGTTGTGGCGACCATGGTGGTGGTGCTGGCTCATGGTTGGACTGCGTGACTTTAAAGGATGATTGGATGATTATTTCCAGCCTTAACCATTCCACGATTCCATGAAATCTGCTCCCCAGAGCGCAGGAGCTCGCTCAGGGTTAGCCCAGCCTGCAGTGGTTGCTCCCTGCCCCTCCAAGGCTCCAGGCAGGGAGCAGCAGGAGCAGCGGGATGAATGGATGCTCCCTGCCCCTCCAAGGCTCCAGGCAGGGAGCAGCAGCGTGAGCAGGCTCTGAGCCCTGCCCTGCTCTGTCCCCCTCCAGGACCGAGGCTGCCAACAGCGTCCTGCGGCGCTCGGCCGGCCGCGAGCGCGCCTACGTCCTGTCCGCTGCCAAGAAGAGCAACGGGTGAGTGCAGGGCTGGGAGGGGAACAGGAGCCAGGGAAGGGCAGCTGGAGCTGAGGGAACCTCTCCAACACAGCAGCCAAGCACAGGCCACAAGGGCTCCAAGGGCTGGAGCTCCTTCCGTACAAGGGAAGAGCTGGGAATGTTCACCTGGAGAAGGGAAGGGTCCAGGTGCTCTTCCAGGGCCTGAAGGGGCTCCAGGAGAGCTGCAGAGGGACTGGGGACAAGGATGGAGGGACAGCACACAGGGAATGGCTCCCAGTGCCAGAGGGCAGGGATGGATGGGAGATTGGGAATTGGGAATTGTTCCCTGTGAGGGTGGGCAGGCCCTGGCACAGGTGCCCACCCTGGATCCCTGGCAGTGCCCAAGTCCAGGCTGGACATTGGGACACCCTGGGACAGTGGGAGGTGTCCCTGCCATGGCAGGGATGGGGCTGGAAAATCCTGAAGGTCCTTCCAGCCCAAACCTATCCATGATTCCATGGTATCTGCAGGATTCTGCAGCACTGGGAAATCCTCCAAGTATTCCTTATTGAGAGGGATGAAACTTCCAGAAAAGAAAATCCAGGGGAGTCCCTAATTCCCATTTTCAGGCTCAGTCCTTCAGCTGCTCTCTGCAGTTTTGTTGCATTATTTCATTGGTGTCACACCCCTGGTTGGAGCCAGCTTTGCCCAGAGGTGTGACAGGACCTTGCACACCTGGGGCAGGGTTTGGGGGGCTCTGCCCCTGCCCAGGGAGCGTCTTTCCTTCCAATCCTTTAACTGCTCCTTAACCCTTCCTCCACAGCAGCCCAACCCAGGAATTCCCACCCCTGTTTGCCAAGAGGTAGGTGCTGCACCTCGGGGAGCACTGCTGGGGCTGGGTGCTTGTACCAGGCTGGGACAGCAGATCCCAGCAGTTTCACAGCAGAGGAAGAACAAACCCTTGAAAAAGGATGCTGGGGGTTGGATCTCACTGCTTTTTTGGGATAAACAGTGTTGGAAAAACTGGGAATGCAATCCTGATGGTGCTTTGGGTTACGGACAGCCTGAAATGGGGAGACTCAGGCACAGCCTCCCTGCTGCAGGCAGCCAGGACAATGCTCCTCAGCATCTCCCTCCTGGAGCTGTCTGTGGGACAGGAAACGTGCCCAGGGCTCCCTCTGGTATCACTGCCACTGTTGGTAATGTGGGGATGGGACTGTTTTTGAGCTAAGAACAACTTACTGCTCAGATAAACATCATTCTCAGAGGCTGGGAGACTTTAAAAAAGTCAGTCATAGCTCAAGAGTAGCCACAAGTTCCTTGTTACAAGACAATATAGAACTTTCTAATCTAATGAACAGATGTTACAAGGGTTAGTTTGCTTTTCTAACTTCCCATTTTTATTGAATTTTGCTGCACTGCAGATAATTTTGTCTAATGGCTTCTGTCACACATGCCCACATATGCTTCTGTTATAACATCTAAATTCTTAGCTTACTCTGTACAACTACACCCCTACACTATAAACCCTTCACCATCTTACCAATGCAGTTTCTCACTTACTTAAGGCATATTCTCACTTACAACTATAAAAACATAAGTTTATAGTTGTTCTGTGTATTGTATTTTTACATCAATCCAAGCTTCTCCCAAGGCTGCAGGTCAAACCCTTCAGTGTCTCTGAAGTTTCTGTTTTTCCAATTCCCACACTCTGGAATCCAAGAACTCAGCTGATGTGGAAAAATCCCCCTGGCCTGGCTGCATTCTGCCCCTTGGGATGCTCTGCGGGAGCACAGGGAGCAGCAGCAAAAACCTGCTCAGGAAACAGGGAAAAACGGGGATAAACTGCCTGGAAAGCTACAGAAAAGAGGGAATGATGTGCCATTTGTCTCTTTCTCCCTGTGGAAAGAATCGAGATAGAAGAGGAGGAAGGACAGCAGAGGAGGAGTCCGACTGTGCCGGGTTCATCCAGGGTTGCTCCGGAGAGCAGCAGGTACTCATTGCTCAGGGTGGCATCTCTCGTTCCAGCCTTTGCCAGCTCTGGGGACAACTGCTTTTATCAGCTGTCCAAACACAACCAAAAATGGGAAGTTTGCAGAGGAAACCTCCCAGGAAACACTGGGGATAGAAGCAGCTCCAGCTGGGATAAATGGGGAAAATCAGTTTCTAAACCTGAGCAGAAAGGCAGATGTGAGTGACAGCAGTGCCACAGAGCACAGGGACACTGCTCAGGGAGCAGCACAGGAGCAGTGGGCACAAAGCAGCATTTGAGCATGGGAGAAGCTCCTACAATTCATCTGGAATAATGTTTTGTTGATTTATCATTTTGTTCTCTTTTTTTTCTTTTTTGTCAGTGCTAATGGGCTAAGAAAAACCAGCCCTGGGTCTTCCTGGGATGAGCCAAAGGCAGCAGCAGCCTCTCCCTCCAGGTAGGAGCTCCAGCACAGCCAGGATGGGTGGCACAGAAGGTCAGAGACCTCTGTGGGCTCCACTCTGGGAAAGGGGAGGAACCCAATCCATCTTTCCATGGGAAGCCTTTCCTGGATGCAGACAGCTCTTGATAAAGGTTTTATGGCTGAAACCCATGGCAGGATCTGACAATATCCTGATGGAAGGGCTCAAAACCCAAAAGGAAAAAACCCAAATGTAGAATCCTGGGCTGGTTTGGGTTGGAAAGGCTTTAAAGCCCATCCATTCCCACCCCTAGGGGCAGGGACACCTTCCACTGTCCCAGGTTGCTCCAAGCCCCATCCAGCTGAACCTTTTCCTGCCAAACAGGTGTAAGGGAATCATTTTTAGCTGTTTTCCAGGGTTTTTGACTGAATCCATGCCTGGTGTATAAAAAAGGTGGAATAGTTCTCACTGCAATCAGCACTTTGTCTGCTGCCCTTGTCCTGGTGCTTTTTCTGTAGAAAGTGGAAATTCCTGGCAAAATCTGTGCTTTTAATTTAAATTTGCTTTGGAGGAGATGACTTGCCAGTGAATGGATTGAGAAGAGTGATGATTCATTCCCATAAGGAACACTCCAGTTCAGGGTGGATTCGCTGCAGCTGGAGCTGGTTTGATCAGGAATGACAATTTTGTCCTTTGTCCTCTCCTGCAGCCCCAAACCAGGCAGCAGGAGCCAAACATCCCCATCCCTGAGTGACACCCTGGGGACAATCTCCACTTCTGCTGAAATCAGGTGGGTCTGGAGGCCCTGCAGGATCCCAAGGGCGGGATGGGGAATTCGGCTCTGCCTGGGGGGATTCCCTGGAGACACAAAATCCTCCAGGACATGGCCACCTGTCCATCCATCCATCCCACCTGTCCACCTGTCCGTCCATCCCACATGTCCATTCATCCATGTCCCCCTGTCCATCCATGTCCACCATGGCCACCTGTCCATCCATCCCGCCTGTCCACCTGTCGATCCATCCCACATGTCCATTCACCCATGTCCATCCATCCATCCATCCATCCATCCATCCATCCATCCATCCATCCATGTCCACCTATCCATCCCTGTCCACCTGTCCATCCATCCCACCTGTCCATCCATCCCACCTGTCCACCTGTCCATCCATCCCAACTGTCCACCTGTCCATCCATCCCACATGTCCATTCACCCATGTCCATCCATCCATCCATCCATGTCCACCTATCCATCCCTGTCCACCTGTCCATCCATCCCACATGTCCATTCATCCATGTCCACCTGTCCATCCATGTCTACCTGTCCATCCATCCCATGTGTCCATGTGTTCATCCATCCATGTCCATCCATCCATGTCCATCTGTCCATCCATCTCCAACACACCCAACATACCTGTCCATCCTCCTTGTCCATCCGTCTTTGTCCACCTGTCCATCCATCCATGTCCATCTGTCCATCCATCTGTGTCCATCCATCTCCAACACACCCAACACACCTGTCCATCCATCAATGTCCATCTTTCCATCCCACCTGTCCATCCATCCATGTCCGTCCATCCCTGTCCACCTGTCCACCCATCCATCTCCATCCATCTCAAACGCACTTGTCCATCCATTCATGTCCATCTTTCTCTGTCCATCCTCCATGTCCATCCATCCATGTCCAGCTGTCCATCCATCCATGTCCATGTGCCCATCCCACCTGTCCAGCTGTCCATCCATCCATGTCCATGTGTTCATGGAGCTGCACAGACCAGCAAACACCACACAGGGAACTCCAGGGAAGGGGCAGAAGCATCTGGAAGGAAACATTCCCAGATGGAAGCCAGGGTGTGAATGCTGGCAGTTGGGATCCAGACCTGCAGCCCTTTCTGTGCAGCTCCTCTGGCTCCCCCTGCCTCACGCTCCTGCTGTTTTCCCTGCAGGAATGGTGAGGACAGGCAGGCCCTGAGTGGGAAATTCTCCTTGGAAACGGTGTCCCAGGCTGGAGATGGGTAAGGACTGTGCTGCTGAGCTGGGTTTGCTGGAGAGCAGCAGCTCCTGCTCCTGGTGTCCCCCAGCCCGGGCTGGGCTGCACTCCCAGAGCAGCATCTGCTGGCAAAGCTGAGCCTGGCAGAGATCCCCTCCCTTCCCTCTCTGCTCTGGGGTTCTCCCCTCCCTGCATTTCCCTTTATTTTGCTGCTCCCTTTGCCTCTGCTGCCATTCCCTGGGGCTGTCCCTCCTCCCAGGGCTGTGCTGGTCCTTGCTGCCTGCTGCTCTTTGGCCATGGTTCCATCATCCATGACCTTCCGTCAAACCCACCAATGCAGAGATTTAACCCCAGCAATGCAGCCCTGCCCATCCTGATGGAGAGATTTAACCCTATTTCATTCCCAAACCAAATATCAGCAGATTTCTTTAGGATGATACATTACAAATGCTGACAAGTCTCATTTTCACTGGAATTTTCCTGTTTTTCTAGTGACAAAGCTCTGAAGGAAAAGCCTGAGAGGTTCCCATGGGATGAAGGGGCCCCCAAAGCCACCAGGGCTGCCACAAATGGAAGGTAGAGTCACTGTGGGATCCCTGACTTGGGCACTGCACAATCCATAAACTGCGGTTCTGGAGCTCCCTGGAATCCTGGAATGGATATTTACTGGTGGAAAACAGATCCCACATGGGCTTTGTAGAACTGGTCTCTCCTCCAGGAAATCAGGGGAAAGTCACTGCAGAACATTCCTCAAGCTGTGTCTCTCTTTTCCAGTTTTGCTGAGCACACAGAAGCCAAGAATGGGCTTTACCCACCAGAGTAAGTGGAAAATTCAGTTTTTCTCCTCCATTTTAGAGCTGAGGGGAGGTTCTCCTGCCCTGGGACTGCCCTGTGGATGAGCTCTGGGAGCAACCCTTGCAGAGGAGGGTGGGCCTGACCCAGCAGCTCAAAGGGCCCTGGCTCTTCAAGCTGCTTTCCTCACATGAGGATGAGTGTGTTGGATGTGGGGCTCAGCCCTTCAGGAAATTCCCAGGGCTAAGCAGGAGGGAGGGAAAGATGCTCCACTGGAGCCAGGAAAGCCTGGTGGTGGGTATTTTTTCTTCTTGGTGTTCTCCTCTTGCTGAGCTTCCTGCTGGACCAGCCAACCCTCTTCTCCCTCAGGTCCAGCTCTGGTTCCTGGCACTCTCCTGGGGATGCTCCGGAGCTGCTCCGTCCCTCTGAGCCCTCCCAGGGGGACACCAGGTGTGACACAGGGCCTGGGAATGGCACCCTCTGCTTCCAGGGGCACCTGGGCTGGGAATAAGCAACTTGTCCAAGTTAGAATCCAAACTGGGCAACGAAGCAACAGGGAAAGGAAAATCCTGTGTGGGCAAACAGTGGGAGCAGCATCTTCCTGTTCACTGTGACACAACTTCTTCCCAGAGAAGCAGACTGGGAATTCAGGGGGAATTTCCTCTGGAAAGGGTGGTCAGGGCTTGGCAGAGAATGCCCAGGGAGGTCTGGAGTCCCCATCCCTGGAGGTGTCCAGGGAAGGACTGGAGGTGGCACTCAGTGCTCTGGGGATGGGGCACAGGTTGGACTCGATGATCCCAGAGGGGTTTTCCACCCCTGCGATGCTGGGAGCAGATCCAGCAGCTTTACCACTGCCTTTAGTGCCTCCATCCCACAGGATTTGAGAGTCTTTGCTCCCCTGACATTGCCAGGGGTGCATGGTCAGGGAGGAATTGCTGCTGTTGCTGCTTCCCTCCCTTGTCCATTACTTTGGGATTCATTTCCCTGTATTGGCCCCACAAAGGCATTGAGGTGAGCAGGTTTCATTGCCAGGTTGGGCTTGGAGCACCCTGGGATAGTGGAAGGTGTCCCAGCCCATGGCAGAGAGTGGGACTGGGTGAGCTTTAAGGTCCTTCCAAGCCAAACCTTTCCATGATTCCTGGATTCTGTGAAATGAATTCATCCCCCTGAGCTGAGGAGAAGAGGATCCCACGGCCTGGAGCTGCTGCTGGTGATGAAGGAATGTCCTCCCCAAAGTGACTCCTGTTGTGCTTTGTCCAGGTGCTTCATCCTGGGACAGGACAGGAAGTTCCTGTACAGAGATGTGTAGGAATTTAATCCCAGTAACCACCTCAGTTCCACCACCAGCCTCTCCTCCTCTTGGATAGGATTGAAAATGGGTTTTTCTGAGGGAAAATCAGTTCTCTGAGACAATACTTTCCTGTTTCCTGGGCTGATACAAAGTGCAGTGTTGCTGTTCCATACAAATCCCCTGGAAATTTTGGAAGCTCTGAATTCCCTGGTTTTTTGCCAGATCAGCCTTGCAGCCTGATGTCCCTTTTCATCCCACTGAGAGAACCCCTGTGCACATTGAGAACACAGAGTATTCCTTTAAAAGGTAAGACTAGGGTGAGTTTAGTGGGTGTAGGAACAATCCTGAGCATTAAGGGAAGGCTGAATGGGCAGGCACAGAAAGAGGCTCCTTCTCCTGCTTTTTTCCCAAGGATGGAAACTGAGGTTTAAATAAACCAAGAGCTTTGTGTTATATCTCCTTTGAGCAGTCCAGATTTTTCTTCCTCTTGTGCTCTCAGTGGGGTTCAGTCACTCCCTTTCAATTCCCTGATAATGCAGGATGCTGCAGCAGCAGCTGGAGCATGGGCACATGGGCTGTCCTAGAGAAAACCCCAGTGCCAGTGCCACCTTTCACCTGGCACAAAGCTGGCCTGGTGAGCAGAGCAGTGCCAGGTGCCAGTTTTTAGGGATGTGATGGGTGCTGCTCTGCTTTCCAGCTCTGTCCTGGGCTATGAGGAGAGGAGCAGCTCCACAAATCCTGAGGGTCCATCCCACCACCAGCCCTACTGGGATGAGACAAGGTGAGGACTGGGGGGACTGGGGTTGGTGATCTGAGGTGTTGGGGGTTGGTGATCTGGAGTGTTTGGGGTTGGTGATCTGGGATGTTTGGGATTGGTGATCTGGGGTGTTGGGGGTTGGTGATCTGGGATGTTTGGGATTGGTGATCTGAGGTGTTGGGGGTTGGTGATTTGGGATGTCTAGCCTTGGTGATCTGGGGTGTCTGGGGTTGTTGATCTGGAATGTTTGGGGTTGGTGATCTGGGGTGTTTGGGATGGGTGATCCGGGAGTATGGGCTTGGTGATCTGGGGTGTTTGGGATGGGTGATCCGGGAGTATGGGCTTGGTGATTTGGGATGTCTGGGGTTGGTGATCTGGAGTGTTTGGGGTTGATGATCTGGAGTGTTTGGGGTTGGTGATCTGGGATGTTTGGGGTTGGTCATCTGGAATGTTTGGGGTGGGTGATCCGGGAGTATGGGGTTGGTGATTTGGGATATCTGGGGTTGGTGATCTGAGTTTTCTATCCTTGGTGATCTGGGGTGTTTGGGGTTGGTGATCTGGGGTGTTGGGGGTTGGTGATTTGGGATGTTTGGGATTGGTGATTTGGGATGTCTGGGGTTGGTGACCTGGGGTGTCTAGCCTTGGTGATCTGGAATGTTTGGAATAGCTCTGGCCAAACTGGCTCCTGCTCCTCTCCAGGGAATGGGTTTCTGCCCATCCCAGCATGGATTTTCCCAACCCTGGATGTCTGGTTTAGGTTTCTGGACTCGGTCAGCCTCACTGAGAGGGGCCAAGGAGCTCCTGGCCATGAGAGCCCCCCAGAGCCCCCCAGGCTGAAGGATGCCACTGAGCCCAGCAGGGCTGGGTAAGGAATGGGATATTCCCCCTGCCTTCTGTGGGATGAAGGGTCATTCCTTGGGCATCTCCCCCCTGCTGATAAATACCCTCCCAGGTTCTCCTTCTCACAGAGTCATGGAATTGTTAAGGTTGAAAAAGACCTCTCAGATCAAGGCCAAGCATCAGCCAGCACCATCACCACATTCAGCACTAACCCATGGCCTCCATGACACACCCACACATTTCCTGAACATTTCCAGGAAATGACATCCCTTTCCATGAAGAAATGGAAATTACAACCCTTTCCATGAAGAAATTAAAATGACATCCCTTTCCATGAAGAAATGGAAGTTTACAACCCTTTCCATGAAGAAATTTTCCCCAATATCCAGCCTAAACCTCCTCTAGTGCAACTTGGGGCCTGCTGGTGCCTGATTCTAGTGCTGCTTCTATTGGATGAACCTTTTACCATGGTTTTATAGGAAAACCTGGGAGAAAAGATCCTTCTTAGCTAGAGCCTTCAAACCCTGTCCAGCTGGACTGCCAGGAGTGCCTTCCTAGACTTGGGATTTGGGAGCAGAGGGTGTCTAGGGAGAGACAATAAGCAATAAAATTTCGCATTGAGCTCCATAGTAATGCTGGGTCTGGTTTTGAACTTCCCCAGTCAGGGCTGGGTGTCCACATGGGAGGACTTTATGGGTTGATTTCCTTTCTTTTGTCCATATTTTCCACCTGGAAAGAACTGAGGCTTCCAACTGGAAGAACTGAGGCTCTCAGTTAAACTGGGCTCCCTCCCAGGTGTGTCAGTGAGAACACCTGGGGTCAGAGGGTGAGCAGAGTGTTCTTCTCCCCAGGTCTGAGCTGCACTCCCAGGACACTGCTGGGAGCAGGGACAGGGAGCTGGCACTGTCATCCTGTGTGCAGAGTGAGGAGAGCACTGCAAGAAGGCAAGAGTGATAATGGGGCTGCCTTTCCTGGTGGGAGGAATTTGCTGCAGGGGGCTCTGGAGGAGGCACTAAAGGTGCTGTGGTTGGGGTCCTTCCTTTCAGCCCTGCTTCTTTAGAGGTCTGGATTTTCCATCTGTTTTTTTTTTTTTTTTTTCACATCACTTTGGGTTATTTGAGGACTTGGGTTAGTGCTGGGTGGTTGGATTTGATGATCTTGGAGGGCTTTTCCAACCTAAACAATTCTGTGATTCCATGATTCTATCTGGCACATTTCCATGCAGGGATATTGCAGTTTTTATTTTTCCCTTGAGGCAGGAGATCTTCCAGGGGCTGCATCTCCATCCCACAGGAATTCTGTGCTCAGGGTGCTTGCACAGCCCATAAAGGTCTCATGTCTTGGCAGGTCCAGCTCTGTTCCTGGAGGAAGCAGCATCCCAGCTCCAGAGATTCCACGTGCAACCGAGTCTGAGCCCCGCAGGGACAGGTACAGAGCCAGGGCACCAGGACATCCCTCACACACCTCCAGCTCTCCTTCCTGGCCTGCCCAAGGCATCCAAATGCTCATTTCCTGGCCTAGGGGATTCAGGAACCAATGCAGGCTCTGCCAGTGCCACCTTTCCCTGTGGAAGGAGCACAGCCCTGCAGGGACCTCCCACAGGAATTGTTGCATTCAACATCAGAAGGACCTGGAGCTGCTGGAGAGAGCCCAAAGGAGGCCACAGAGCCCCTCTGGAGCCGGGCTGGGAGAGCTGGGGGTGCTCACTTGGACAGGAGCAGCTCCAGGGAGAGCTCAGAGCCCTGCCAGGGCCTGAAGGGGCTCCAGGAGAGCTGGAGAGGGACTGGGGACAAGGGTTGGGGGGCCGGGCCCCGGGAATGGCTTCCAGTGCCAGAGGGCAGGGCTGGATGGGAGATTGGGAATTGTGAATTGTTCCCTGTGAGGGTGGGCAGGCCCTGGCACAGGGTGCCCACCCTGGATCCCTGGCAGTGCCCAAGGCCAGGCTGGACATTGGGACACCCTGGGACAGTGGGAGGTGTCCCTGCCATGGCAGGGGTGGCACTGGGTGGGATTTAATGTCCCTTTTAACCCAAACCATTCTGGAATCCCCTGATCCTGTGGTTCTGTTAACACCATGGTGCCCCATTTCTCCCTGTTCCCTTAGGAATGGGCAGGATCCACCCTCAGCACACCCTGAACACCCGTGGGAGCTCCCCTTGGCTTTATGGTCAGACTGGTTTTCATTCTCCAGCAGGTCAGAATTCAGCTCTCAGGAGGGTGTTGGCAGTGCCCACGAGCCCCAGCCCCCCGTGCCCCTGTTCCAGGAGCGCCAATCCTTCGGGGGCTCCGTGCCCAGCCACAGGATCCCAGGCTATGTGGACAGCCAGGCGTTCAGCACCAGGAGGTGAGGGTTTGGGGAGGGAGTTTGGGGGTGAAGGGTTTAGGATGCAGAGACAGGGAAAACTGCTGGCATGGGACACTTTCCACTGTCCCAGGCTGCTCCAAGCCCCATCCAGCCTGGCCTTGGACACTTCCAGGGATGGAGCAGCCACAGCTTTTCCAGACAATCTGTTTGGGAATGCTTTGGCTTTGCTCAGGTGTTGGGTTTGGAGCCTGCTGTCCCTGTGGAGCACAGACCGGCACAGGGGCAGAGCATGGGGGAGTGCATGGTGGAACCATGGAGTCCTCATGGCTGGGAAAGGCCTCTGTGGTCATCAGCTGTGTCCCATGGTCACCACCAAGCCATAGCCTCAAGTGCCACATCCACACATTTTCTGGCACTTTCAGGGACGAGGATTGCACACTGTGCCAGGGCTTGGCAGTGCCAGAACCTGGCAGTGACTGAGCCCAGTGTGGGATCCAGAGATTCCCTCTGTGCCAGAACCTGGCAGTGAGTGTGAGCCCAGTGTGGGATCCAGAGATTCCCACTGTGCCAGAACCTGGCAGTGAGTGTGAGCCCAGTGTGGGGACCCAGAGATTCCCACTGTGCCAGAACCTGGCAGTGACTGAGCCCAGTGTGGGGACCCAGAGATTCCCACTGCCGTGTGCTCAGGGCTTTGTGTCGCCCAGCAGGCCCAGCCCAGATCCCAAAGGGAATGTTTATGGGAGCAGCAGCCCC